ACAAAAGAACTAACTATAAAAGAAAATGTTAAATGAATTCAAGTATATTAAAGTTTAGTTTTTTTAATTAAAGAGAGGCAAGCCAGAGGAAAAACATATGTAACACATTTAATCCACAAAAGATTAATATACAAAACATATAAATTGATGAAAAGTAATAAAATAGAAAAATGCATAAAAGATACTAACAGACATTTCACAGAAAGAAATGATATATGTGATGAATAAATGTAAGAAACAATTCTCGATCTTACTAGTAATCAGGAAATGCTGAAGATGCCATTTTCCCCTCGCCAACAATACCTGGGGTTCGGAAGGATATGGATCAAGAGTTCCTTTTAAACAACGTTAATGGGGTTGTAAGTTGGCATAGCGCCTTTGGGAAACAATGTGGCGATCTTTTGGTTTTCTCTTTTTTAACATATGCATATCCTGTGGCCCAGAAGTTCTACTCCCTGGTATCTACTGTAGACTATAGCAGGAGATAGTCAAACAGGAGGCAATCTAAATGCCCATCTACAGAAAATGTATAAGTACCATGTAGTATATTCAACTTAATGTGCATTTAATCATGCAGCAAGGAAACTGAATAAACACAACATGAATGCATCTTAGAAATACAATGTTGAATAAAAAATCCCAAGTTCGACAAATCTGCATATAGTACACCATAATTCTCCCTTATCTGCAGCTTTCTTTTCCATGGTTTCAGTTACTTGCAGTCGATCTTGGTCCAAAACTATTAAATGGAAAAATTCCAAAAATAAGTAAGTTTTTAAGTTGTCCACCATTCTGAGTAGCATGATGAAATCACCTGCTGTCGGGCTCAGTCCACATGGGATGCAAATCACCCCTTTACCCAGTGTATCCACACTGTAGATGCTCCCTGCCTCTCAGTTATCAGATTGAAAAAACATAGTAAATATATAAAACTGGATCCTATCCACAGTTCCAGGCCTCCACTGGGAGTCTTGGAATGTATCCCCCTCAGGTAGGAGGGATTACTGTATGATTTTCATAAAGTGCAGGAAGAAGTAAACTAATATATATTGTTGAATCAAGTATACATGTATGCTAGTGATAGAACTCTCTTTAAAAGGAGAAATGGAATAATAAAGTTAACATTTAGAAGAGTGTGTGAGGATGGAATGATGTAAGAACACATAGTTAAATACGAGTTCATTTTTCAATAAGGTGGTCATTTCTGGAATATTCATTATTGTATGTTTTACAGCATGAATATGTTTTATATAGTTATATATTTACTATTTATGTTATGTAATTATATATTTACTTGGCATGGTGGCTCATGCCGGTAATCCTAACACTTTGGGAGACTGAGGCGGGAGGATCACTTGAGCCCAGGATTTCAAGAACAGCCTGGACATGGCAAGATCCCATCTCTACAAAAAAATCTAAAAATTAGCCAAGCATGGTGGTGCATACCTGTAGTCCCAACTACTCAGGAAGCCAAGGTGGGAGGCTAAGACAGAAGTATCACTTGAGCCCAGGAGTTCAAGGCTGCAGTGAGCTATGATATACACCACTGCACTCCAGCCTGGGGAACAGAGCAAGATCTGCCTCAGCAAAAATAAGAAATTTTATATTATATGTGTATTTAATTATTTATATTCTTTTGTGTGTCAAATATTAGCATTAAAGAAAGATCTTTTTTTTTTTTTGGAGATGGAGTCTCGCTCTGTCACCCAGACTGCAGTACAGTGGCACAATCTTGGCTCACTACAACCTCCGCCTCCCAAGTTCAAGTGATTCTCCTGCCTCAGCCTCCTGAGTAGCTGGGATTACAGGTGCCTGCCACCACACCTGGCTAATTTTTTTGTATTTTTAGTAGAGATGGGGTTTCACCATATTGGCCAGGCTTGTTTCGAGCTCCTGATCTCAAGTGATCCGCCCACCTCAGCTTCCTAAAGTGCTGAGATTACAGGCATGAGCCACTGCACCCGGCCTAAGATCATTTTATTTAAAATCATTTTGGAATGCTAGTCAAAAAGAACAAGTCACTTAACAAGAAGGAACAAGTCAGGCCAACTTCAGATTTCTCTGCGGCAGCATTCCACACCAAGAGGCAATAGAGAAATGCTGACACATTATTTGAGGAAAGAATAAGCTGTGGTTTTAAATCCAGCCAAGCTGTCTTTTAGCTCTGAAAGCAGCAGACAGGAAGTTTTCAACATATATGAGTGTATTCATTTGCTAGGGCCACTAGAACAAAACACCACAGGCAGGGTGGCTTAAACAGTGGAAATTTATTCAATCACAGGTCTGCAGGCTAGAAGTCAAAGATCAAAGTTCTGACAGGGTTGCTTTCCTCTGAGACCTTGGCCACCCTCTTGCTGCCTCTTCACTTGGTTGTTTTCTCTGTGCACACGGGACCCTGGTTTGTCTCTCCTTCTTCTAGGTCCTTCCTATAAATCCAGTCATTTAGAGTTAGCGCCCCATTCTCATAGCCTTATTTTAACTTAATCACTGCTTTAAAGACTTCCAAATACAATTATATTCTGAGGTACAGGGGATTGGGACTTACAAATATGAATTTTGGCCAGGCATGATGGCTTATGCCTGTAATGCCAGCACTTTGGGAGGCCGAGGCGGACAGATCACAAGGTCAGGAGTTCGAGACCAGCCTGGCCAGCATGGTGAAACCCTGTCTCTCCTAAAAATAGAAATTTAGCTGGGCACGGTGGTACACACCTGTAGTCCCAGCTACTTGGGAGGCTGAGGCAGGAGAATCACTTGAACCCGGCAGGCGAAGGTTGCAATGAGCTGAGATCGCACTCCAGCCTGGGCAACAGAGCAAGACTCTATCTCAAAAAAAAAAAAAAATGAATTTTGGGGAACACAGTTCAACCCATAGCAGTGATCTCAGAGAATATTGTTCCCATGAGCTCTTCTTGAAGAAACTATTAGAAGATGAGCTTTAGCCAACCAGGAGATGATTGGGAAAATCACACAAAAGTAATGTCAGTGATCACTGATTATATTCAGCTATAAAACCAATACTAGAACAAAGGTGAGGCATAGAGTGATAGGCCAGAATGTAAACACACTATGCCCTGACAATGTGGAATTATAAAATTGGCAAAGGCTATATTGAAAAAAGAAATCAGACAAGCAGTTAAGTTTTCTGAGTGCCTCTTCTGTAACGTCTGGGAGTCAGAGATCGTCAACCAAAAGTGGCAAATGACACAGATTTTAGAAATCTAAAATTAGACCTAAGTTCAAAATTCAGCCTAAATTAAATACTGTAGTTCTATATATAGTAAAGGTAGTATCTCACTGGGGAAACAGGTGAATTATTAATTAAATTTTGAGACGAATTAATAGCTAACTGGAGAAAAATTAAGTTGGAGCCATATCTTTTACTTTACAGCAGGTTAAATTTCAGATGGATTAAATATTTAAACATAAAGAAATGAAATTATAAAAATTCTTTAGGAGAAATGGTAGAATATTTATTTCTTTTTCTTTTTAAGAGACAAGGTCTTACTCTGTCTCCCCCAGGCTAAAGTGCACTGAGCAGGATGATCATAGCTCACTGCAACCTCAAACTCCTAGGTTCAAGTGATCCACCTGCCTCAGCCTCCTAAGTAGTGGAGACTGCAGGTATACAACATCCCACCCAGCTAAATTTTTTATTTTTTGTAGAGACAGGATCTTGCTGTGTTGCCCAGGCTGATCTCCTCCTGCCTTGGCCTCCCAATGCACTGAGTTTACAGGCATGAGCCACCATGCCTGGCCCAGTAAAATTTCTTGATAACCTTGGAATGAGATAGGGCTTTCTAACTACAACTGAAAATCCAGAAGTCATTGAAGATCATTTAAAAACCAAACTTTGTATCAATCAAAATCTGTATCACACAAAGTACCGTAAGTCCAAAGGCAGACTTTAAACTCAGGAAACATTATCTGTAATTCATATCATAGGCAAGGATGATCTCCCTAAAATATAAAGAGCTTTTTACCAACAGACAAGATAAAAACCTCTTAGAACAATTAACAAAATATAAAAGCAGATAGTTTACAGAAAAGACATACGAAAGGCTAACAAATATGAAAGGATGGGCAGCTCCACTCATAAGAAGGGAAATGCAGATTAAAACCACGTTTCTCACCCATCAGATTGGCAGAGGCCTAAGATTTTAGTAACAGACTCTGTTATGGGGCGATAAAGAAATGGTGATACTCATATATTTCTGGCAGGAGATTAAATTGTTATAATCTGCCTGGGCGTGGTGGCTCATACCTGTAATTTCGGCACTTTGGGAGGCCGAAGTGGGTGGATCACCTGAGGTCATGAGTTCAAAACCAGCCTAGCCAACATGGTGAAACTCTGTCTCTACTAAAAATACAAAAATTAGACGGGTACAGTGGCTCATGCCTGTAATCCCAGCTACCGGGGAAGCTGAGGCAGGAGAATCGCTTGAACCCAAGAGGTGGAGGTTGCAGTGAGCTGAGATTGTGCCACTGCACATCAGCCTGGGTGACAGAGTGAGACTCCATCTCAAAATAAATAAATAAATAAATAAAATTCTAGAAGGAAACCTAAGAAACAAAATAGTGTTTACTTATCTACAGTGGAGACAAGGATGGGAGGGACACTTCCCTGTATAACTTTGTATATTTCCTGGTTTTTGAAACATGTGAATGTGTTACGTATTCAAAAAGTTTTAAAAAAAATAGATCAAAGACATGAGATATAGTTCTGCCATTCAGTAGTTGAGTGAACTCGGGCAAGACTGTTAACCTCTCTGAACTCTATAAATACTTTTCTCATTTATAGAAGGGCTGTCATAGTAGTATCCAGCTCATAGGGTTGTTCTGAGGCTTAGTGAATGACAGGAGGAACAGAAAGTGCTGAGGAAAGTGCCAGCACTTTGTAAATACTCAGTTGAATGGCCATGACTCATGTTACTGAACTTAATCTTGGTAATAAGTATGTTCTTGAAAAGACACCAGCCTCAGCTAACGTTCCTTTGTAGAACCAGACGTCCTGGGTCCTCTCCAGCATGGCAGCCCTCTACTGGAGAGTGAGAGGCCAGGGAAAGAAGGCGATCGACTGCCTCCGCCAGGCTCTGCACTATGCGCCACACCAGATGAAGGTGAGTGGGACCCAGAAGGTGGGAACTTCTGTCCCTTCGTTCTTTCCATTCCCTGTGGTTTATTCTGCCCTTTCCAACAGCCTTCCTCATGCTCAGCCAGTGAGGACGTGGTGCAAGGAGAGAATGGGGCTGGAGACTCTGACCGGGCTTGTGCCCCGGCAAGCCTCTGAACTGTCCCTGCTGCGTGCCTCCCCAGCCTCAGCAGGTTGGAACATGGGGAAGGCTCTCTAGGTCACTGTAAGACATAACTGCATTTAGTCCCCTTTCCACTGTGTTCAGAGCCACCCAACATACAGCAATTGCACTTGTTTTGCTTATCCTCTTGGCTTGAGCTTGCTTCCAGGCACAGAGACAGAAGCAAATGTCCATTTTTTCTTATACATCGGCCAGTTCCTGGTCCTTATCTGACTTCCACTTTTTATGCAAAAACAAAACAAAACCAGTTAACCCTGTGTAACATCAAACTTTTTCAGAAGACCAGTTATTGTTATGATGGCTGAGAAAGTACAGTGTTTTATTAGCACATCTGTATTGATGTGTTCTGAGTTCTGCATTAATCCCGATCTTGTACTTTTTATTTTTATTTTATTTTATTATTTTTATTTTTGAGAAAGGAGTCTCACTCTGTTGCCAGACTGGAGTGCAGTGGCACAGTCTCGGCTCACTGCAACTCCGCCTCCAGGTTCAAGCAGTTCTTCTGCCTCAGCCTCCCGAGTAGCTTGGACTGCAGGCATGTGCCAGCACACTTAGCTAATTTTTGTATTTTTAGCAGAGACAGGGTTTCACCATGTTGGCGAGGATGGTCTCGTTCTCTTGACCTCGTGATCTGCCTGCCTCAGCCTCCCAAAGTGCTGGGATTACATATGTGAACCACCGCACCTGGCCTAGATCCTATACTTTTTAAAGACATAGCTGATGTCGTCTTTGTTCATCAAGGCGGTATATAGAATGATGGAAGGAACACAGGATTTACTGTCCGGCATTGCTGAGTTTTAAACACAGCTCTGCCTCTTGCTAGCTTTGTGAATTTGGGCACCTTATTACACTTCAGTGAGCTCATCCAGGGTCATGCATTCCATGGCTGTCCCATAAAGACGAAGATGGATCCTTTTTTTCTGTTTCTTCTCTGTCTGCTATAGAACCCAGTATGATGTGATACAGGTAGCAGTTGCTCAGGTAAGACATTCAAAGGGAATATTTGTGATAATAACAGTATTGCTACTTGTTCCATCCATCATTTGGTACTCTATACTGATAGGCAATAGGGAAGGGCTGAGGGTCTACCTCTGGGAGTCAGCAAACGCCCCGAAAAGGGCAAGAGAGTAAAACACTTAAGCCCTGGAGGCCAGACAGCCTCTGGTGCAACTACTGAATTCTTGCATTGTAGTCTGAAAACAGCCACAGAAATACATAGAGGACTGGGAATGATTGTGTCCCTATAAACTTTTTAAAAATAGGCAGCAGACTAGGTTTGCCAACCCCTACTCCACATAATATGACGGAAATTATTACAGACATTATTTTGGCTTTCTGACAGCGTGATTCCAAGTGTGGTCTGTGGACAGTACATGGACTTTTTCTTAGCAGTCTGCAGTGAGACAAGGAGCTTCACCAGAAGAAACCAACTATATTACTCAGCAGGTTGTTTGCTTCAGCTGGCATTTTGTTGTGTTTGTTTTTCAAAGCAAGACTTTGCCAGTGCAAGAAGTAATTGATTTATATTCTGGTACAGGCGCCTTATCTATCACAGACCAGTAGCACACAGCAGAAAAGCACTTTGAGTTGCATCATGCTAATCATTCACCAGGAAACACCGACTGTATTCTTTATGATCACCAGAAACAAGAATGAAAGCTCAAAACCCAATTTTCCCTTCTCACCATTCTCCTCCTCTCCCAGGATGTGCCCCTGATTAGCCTGGCCAACATCTTGCACAATGCCAAACTCTGGAACGACGCCGTCATAGTGGCCACCATGGCGGTGGAGATCGCACCACACTTTGCTGTGAACCACTTCACTCTGGGCAATGTCTACGTGGCAATGGTGAGAGATGGGTGTGAGCGGAATGCACCAGCTCTGCCAAACACTCGCGCATCTTTGATTTCAAAACCTCTTTGAATATGTCATCGCCTGCCAGTTTCCTATAAGCTTTCTGTCTAAAATTGCTAGTTCCACCAATGTTATATTTGATGGACAAGGGTTTGAGAGGATTTTTTTAAAAAATAATACATGAAATTCTTCTAAGTATTTGCAACTACATAGTTCCTCAACATGAGTTTAACACTAACAGTAGAGTCAGATTTACCTACAATTTCCTAGAAACACCTCATGTTCCAGGAAACCTCTCCTCCCCCTCCACATAGACACACACATGCTGTCTGGATTCCAGGTTCGGCCAGGTACGTGTCATCACACTCATGACACCCTGTGCATATTTTTCTTGCAGGATTTTCATCTTGTTTTCTAATTTTTTGTTTAAATGTGTGTCTTTCCCTCTAGCCCAGGGGCCCATTGAGGACAAGACTCCTCTTCACCTCCTGTTCCCAGTGCCTCACAGTGTTTTTGGCCCCTGGTGGGTGCTCACCAAGTAGTTAGCGAATGATGAAATTCCACTGGTTTCATGGAATACCATGGACAGAGAAAATGGCAAAGACATCGCCCAGATCCCTCATTCTGATCAGAAACAAGAACTGATTTCAGAACTGAAAATCCCAGGGAGACCCCCTAAAAGCTGTCATAACCCAATTTAGCGTGAGAATCATGCCATTCATTTTCTTCTAAAATGTGGCATCGCACATAAGGCTGCTATTCCCAAGATGCTCTCAGTAATGGCTGATCGAGTGCGCAGCCCTGGGCTACCAGCTGCATGTATCATCCTTGATTTCAGAGGTGAGAAGTGTTTTGCCAGGGAGGTATTGCTGAATACGCAGATTTCCCTCTCTGCTCCTTAAGTTGAAGAATCTGTGGTTGCTCCCCGTAAATGTGAAATTTGCTACTGTGGACAAGGAATTATGTCTCTCATTTGGCTAGAAGAAATCATTAAACCTGTTGATTTGGGCTTTTCTTTGAGAGTATAAGTCTAAGTAAAAGATTAACACCTTCAAAATGGCAGGGATCATTTCCCAATCTTTGTTGGCATTTTTAAATGTTAAAGAGAATTTTAAAACTCTTCAAAATGTGCAAGTCAAATTGAGATACCTGACTTAGTTTCCATCTTTCCAGCTACATTAGAAATTTTAGGCAGATGTTTAATGGGCATTTATCAGGCATGGCCCTAGAGGTTTCTGTAAGGATGAAATGGAAGGATTTTGTAAAGCGCCCAGCACAGTGCCTCGCACATTTCAGGCACTCAGTAATGTTAGGTCTTATTATTACCACAATTATCACTCTTGTGGGGTTTGTAAAGCTGCTCTACCCCTTTTCCTTTTGTTCTTGTACTCTGCCGTAGTTTTCTTTAGTTTTCTTTGTGATGTTACGTTACTCCTTGGGGCCGAAGGCAGCTGTTTTCTCCCAGCGGAACCTCAGAGTTTTCCAGAGACTTAGATCCATTGAGCCAATGCTGCAGGCTTGTCCGTGGCACAGAGGTGCTCCTTGAGAAAAAGAGGTCACGGTATATATTTAGTCTGGTGGTGCAATCCCCTCACATTTGTCTCCTTGTTCCTCACAGGAAGAATTTGAGAAAGCACTGGTGTGGTATGAATCCACACTGAAGCTTCAGCCCGAGTTTGTCCCCGCCAAGAACCGAATCCAGACCATCCAGTGTCACTTAATGCTGAAGAAGGGACGGCGCTCTCCTTAGTGGACTTCTCCTTTCTCTCTTTCTCTTCACTCACACTCTCAAAAAACAAAAAAGAATAAGAAACCAATCATTGTCACTATCTACTCTTAATGATATGTGTGAAAATAACTGAGTAAGACTTCTAACAGGACTTTTACATATGTGGGAATTGGTTTGTTTTTGATTTTAAGTTTCTTCTTTCCCCCAGCCCACCTCAGAAGAGGCACCTTCAGAAACACACATTTCTTAAAAGGAAAGTGCAGCTTCAAGATACTGTGTAAATACTGAGCCAAGACATTTCTGGAGCTGTGCTTTGTCTCCAAAACCTCAATGCCTTTAGGGCTCTTCTCAGTGGTCCAGCAAGCCTCCTCCTTGAGGAGGAGGAAGCCGCATTGCGCATTCTCTGCTTCCTGTCGTAGCCTCTGTTGTCGATGGAAATGCAAAAGCCCATCTGGTGCCAGTCAGTGAGAAGCCACGTTCTGCGCGCTCTCCGTTAGATCTCCATGCTGTCCCAGTCTTGTCTGTTCCATGCTGCTGTGTTACAAACTCTCAGAGGTAGTTTGCAGGGGAGGAAGGGGAATATGATTTTAAAAACAAAACATTTACAACAACAAAAATTCTTAGGATCACCTGACCTTTGTAATGTTATTTATGTTGGGGAGGGAGGGGGGCCGAGAAGGGGAAATCAGCAGTGTGCAACATCTTTATCATTTGTACTTTCATTACAAATCACAAGGAAACCAGTAAGTTGCAATCCTATATAACAGGTTTATATATATAGAATATGTATATTTGAAGCCCTCTATAGACTGAGTCTCTGTTTTACTAATTCCTTGTTCACTGTGTTACCCATCTTGGAATAAGGTGTGAGTGTCAACTCCCTCTCTCTGAGGCCTCCAGACCTAGCTCCTCAGGAGAGTGATGAGCTGAGGTTGAGTGTTTCCATACAATGCTTTTACCTTTGGTCCCAGGAGAATCAGAAACTCCAACATTTTGAAATCTTCAAGGGCACATACTGAAAAGAAAAATAAAAGTTGTTTATGAGCAAAATAGGTCTGTCGTGTGATTTTTCTTTAGAACCTGGTGTATTTGGGCAGCTGTGAAGCCCAACTTTAACTCTGGATCCGATCTTCCCAAGTCCTACATTGGCTTTATCTATCTTTCAGCAGCAAGGTGAGGGGACAAAAAAATCCATCACTAAGTTTTACAGTTGATGAACTTACTAGAATGATGCATTTAACCGGGAAAGACAAGTGGTCAGCACATGTTCAGAGTCTGGTGTACAATTGACTGTCCCGGCAAAGGAATAATCATCTAAACCACACAGTCATGCCCCTCAGGTAAGCACTGATCTTAAAGGTCACCCAAGTAAGTTTCACAGACAGCCTTGGGGTGCATTGTGTAAGTCGGGCATTCACCTTGGGACAGGAGTCCACTGAAGACGGCATTTCTATGGACTTTACTAGGATGTTATAAGACACTGATCATCTCAGATACTGGCTCATTGAACTTGAAGGGTTTGTTTCTAGCACAGACTAATTTCTTAGAAGCAAATCTGTAATTTCTTACATCAGACATACCTGTGACCTCTCTGTTTTTTGTGCAGCTAAAGTCCAACACACTCTAGTTTTATCAGCTGTATTTCAAGAACAGCAGGCTCCTTTGTTAATGAATACAGTGAGACTTTATTCACTCGGGGGTCCATAGAAATTAACTTATTAACTTGTATCTAGATGCAGTTCCCTGCTTCCTCACCTCACCACAATTGTTTCCTGAAACCTTCAACAGTGGCTTGACTGTTTAAAATTAACATACAATGAAATTCACTCTGGTATACAGTTCCACCACCACAACCATCAAGATACAAAACTTTCATCACCCCAAAAAGACTCCCTCATGCTGTCCCTTTGTAGTCAAATTTACCCAACCCTTAACCCTGGGCACCACGTGTCTGCTTTCCCTCCCTATCGCTGTTCCTTTTCTATAATGTCATATCAATGGAATTACTGTATGGCCTTTTGAGTCCAGCTTCTTTCCCTTGACATAATGAAAGCAGTTGGGGTTTGCCTACGTTGTGTGGATCAGTGATTGGATACTTTTTGTTGCTGAGTAGTGTTCCATTGTTTGTCGGCCTGTTGGAGGGCATTGGAATGCTTCCAGCTTCTGGAGATCGTGTATAAAGCTGCCCTAAATATTTGCATATACGTTTGGCTGGGCACGGTGTCTCACGCCTGTAATCCCAGCACTTCGGGAGGCTGAGGTGGGCGGATCACTTGAGGTCAGGAGTTCGAAACCAGCCTGACCAACATGGTGAAACCCCATCTCTACTAAAAACAAAAATACATTAGCCGGGCCTGGTGGTGGGCACCTGTAATCCCAGGTACTGGGGAGTCTGAGGCACGAGAATCGCTTGAGCCCGGGAGGCAGAGGTTGCAGTGAGCTGAGATGGCACCACTCCACTCCAGCCTAGGCAACAGAGCAAGACTCTCAAAAAAACAAACCAAAACAAAAATTGCATATAGGTTTTTGTGTGCACATAGGTTTTCGTTTCTTTTGTGTTAATAATTCAGCAAGTATTTTTTTCTACTCTGGACCTTTTAAAAGCTGGAATGGTCAGCCAACACTGAATGGAGGCAGCTTCAAGTCGGTTTTATACAGAAGGAGTATGGGGTAGGGACAGCTGCAAATCTTATCTGAAAGGAAGAGGAAAGAACATGACCTTTCTTTGAAATGACTTGAAATGACCTCCACAGCATTGTTCCCAGCCTCATTTCAGATGCTGCTTCAAATCAGGTGTGGTGGGAAGCTGCACTGCGTGGTGGCTGACAGATGATGAATGCATACCTCCCGCAGGGCTGGTGACGTGAGGGCCCCGTGATGATGCAAAGGCAGGCAGCATCCCTGCCCTGTGGCTGCCATCCTGGAACTCTATGGGGCTTATTCACTAGATAGGTCAAAGCTCTAACTCGCACTAGACTTTGACACTGGCATCAGCTCACTGGGAATGAAACTTGGAGCCCAACTCTCCAGTGTAAGGGGTGGCTGTTAGTGGCCTTTCTGTTCCACATACAACAGGAGCCTGAGAGTTTCCAAGGCAGATTCCCCTAGAACTTTGACCTCGTGAGAACTTTGGCCCTATAGCAACTCCTTTGTGGTAGGGCTGTTCCTGCCTCAGAGAGCCCCAGAATGGGTTCCACAAATCTGCATTCCAATCTTAGTCCCGCCTCTCGCTAGCAAGGAGATCTTGAACAAGTATTTAGCTCTGAACTGAATTTCTCACAGAAAGAAAATAATCTGAGAATGATAAGAACTACTGCTCTTCACAGGGGATAGCTGTGAGAAGGAGATTTTTCAAATATGACGCATTTAGCACAATGCAAACACCCAGGAAGGAGTAGCTATTGTTATCTGCACCATGTTGTAGACTGCATTTTTTTTCTTTTCCCAAGACAGAGTCTTGCTCTGTTGCCCAGGGTGGAGTGCAGTGGCATGATCTTGCCTCACTACAACCTCCACCTCCCAGGTTCAAGCAATTCTCCTGTCTCAGCCTCCTAAGTAGCTGGAACTACAGGCGTGTGCCACCACACCCGGCTAATTTTTGTATTTTTAGTAGAGATGGGGGTGTCGCCACGTTGGCCAGGCTGCTCTTGAACTCCTGACCTCGTGATTGCCTGCCTTGGCCTCCCAAAGTGCTGGGATTACAGGCATGAGCCACCACGCCCAGCAGAAACTAGGTATTTTAAAGAAATTTGCTTAAGTTAATTTTAAACAAGACCCAGCCATTGAACTCCTCCCTGGCACATCTTCTGGTCAGGCCAGCCTTGCTGTTCTGATTTCCAAACCTTTTGCTTAATCCATTCCCCATCAGAAGTGCCCTCTTCTCTCTGGTTTCTGCCCCCCTTCTAGGGCTCTTTTACCAGAGCTTTTCCTAATGACACTGATTGATCTACACCTTCTCTGATCATTATAACAGCTTCAATTCACTGAGCCAGATAGGAGGCTGTATGCAGTCAGAAACATTGAAGATTTATCAAGCTCTTAGTATGTTCCAAAATTATTCTAAGAGCTTTACAGGAAATAAAATTCATTTCAGCCTCATATCAAACCAATAGTGTATGTACTGTTGTTATCCTGATTTTAAGAATGGGAAACTGGAGCCCGAGATTTAAGTAACTTTCCCCAAGACCACAGGTAGGAAGTGATGGAGTCGAGGTCTGAGCCCAGGGAGTCTAATTCTAGAGGCTGCACTCCCAACTACCATGCTATACACCCAGCATCTCGTTGAGTCTTCACGATGACAAAATAGGTCGGCAACATTATCTCTTATTGCACAGGTGAGAAAACCAAGGCTCAAAAGGTAAAGTAACCAGCTCATAATCCCACAGTTTGCTACTAGAGTTTAGATTCAAACCAAGCTCAGATTTGCCTAACACCAACTTAGTGTTCTTAACTCCTCTACTCCTCCGCCTCCGTGTAGCGCTTATTTCCAGGAAGTTCTGCATTCTGAGCTGTTTCCTATTTGCATTCAGATGTGTTGCTCTCTCTCCCGCTCTGTGTACTATGTCACATGATGTGTCTCATCGCTCTGAAGGCAGAGCTCACAGATAGTAAATAGTCAATGCTAGTGGTTGACAAGCAATGCCAGGGATACGTTCCCCTGCTTGCTGCTGTTGGCAGTCTGAGGGCTTTCCACTGCACCTCACAATCTTTTAGGAAACCAGTCTTAGAGAAGTGAAGTATCTTGCTTTCTCTGCCAATGGAACTCGAAGAAGGCAAAAAGGCCTCTTCATCCTTCTGCCTCAGGCTCACGCTGTCAGTCTGGCAAGTAGAGGAAATTGACTAGCTGCCCATGAATCTCACAGAACCTATTCTACCCTTCACTGCCCAAGAGCTTTGCACCACTAGCTGGGGAGAAGATGCGACCACTCTGGTGTGGCCAGCTTCAGGGGATCCACTCTGCCATCGTGATTGAGTCCCCAGCAGGGGAGACTGGCTTCTAAATTCAGCTTTTGTGGTTATCCGAATGCTCAGGAAGGCATCCCTAGATGATATCCCTTGTTTCCCCTTTCTATAAAGATGTAAACAGGCAATTACATCTCTTTCTACATACAGATTTAGTTCCACACGTACTGATGTCCAACACTAGATGGGACATTGGACATGGTCTCTAACCTGAAAGAGTCACAATCTAGTTGAAGAGAGAAGCTACAGAATTCAAGGATGCAAAGTCCACTCCAGCAGAAGCCTGAATATTAAAAACCCAGAAACTGAATTCTCCGATGAATGCACTGGGTCTTTTGAGACAGTGCAGCCTTTTCTAGGTACATAAACCTCCTCCATTTGGACACTCCAAGCAGAGTCCTCCATAGCTCAGCCAATGCCTGCCTTTCCATGCTTGTCTTCTGCCACTCATTTATTCATTCAGCAAACATATTGAAGAAATACTATGGAGCCAGGCATTGTGTTGGTCACTGCAGGTAATTCAATATGGTGCAAGAATAGAGGGTGGGTGGGAGAGGTGGTAAGAAATGAGACTGGGGCCACATCATGAAAGATATCATAGACACGCCTAGGGAGTTTGGATTTTGTCCTGAGTGAAATGGAGAGCCATTCCCCAGATTGCACTTCAGGCTACAATTTAGGATTTCCCACATGCATCAAAATTCTGCATTCCTATGCCTGTGATCATGCTGTTCCCACGACCTGGAATGCCAACTCCTTGCACTCTCCCCCTTTTTTTCACTTACTTAGTTCTACTGGTTTTCTGAGACACTGTTCTCAAGATGCCATGCTTCTAAGACACCAGCAATAATCCCCATGGTGACACTCAACCCACAGTATTGAAATGAGCTATGTATCTTGTCCCCAATCAGATGCTTAGCTCCATGTCTAATCAATCAATGTCTATGTCCCCTGCTTTTACAACATAAAAACCTGGCACAATGAAGTTGCTTAATTAAAAAAAAAAAACAGTTATTTATTGACTTGATGGTTAACTGACCCAACAACACACTAGAGAAACTATAGCAACATTGAAGATAAGAGATTGG